GGAAGTCGAAGCACGAAGTGGCAAGGGTTCACTGTATTGCTCTTTCATATAGAATTATAATGAAATTAGCCATTATGGTTTGAAGACATTTTTCTTTTATAGCTTGTTCATGAAAATAAACTTTTTACTTTATAATAGTTTTGAATTTAATGAAAAAAATGTAGAGGTACTACAACATCCCCACACTGTTTTCTTAATTGTTAACACCTTAACATTTCTGTATTCTTAAACCTAATGTATTATCTTGTTATGTGAAATTTCACACTTACGAACAACAGTAAAAAAAATCTATGCAACTATTTTTTGCCTTGATGGCATCCTTCTGACAAGGTGAAGGGTTGTGGTGTCACTGGCTGTGATGGGTAAGATTATGTCAACTTGGCTGGGCCATGTTTCTCAGTGGTTGGTTCTCCATTCTCAGATCTGTTGTGCTTGTTGTCCACTTTTGCATAATGATTTGATATTTGGAACCTAAACATGTCATATGTGCAGACTAGGTATAGTTATATTTTTCTGAGCCAATGAACCAATATTGATACATTATTATTAATAACATTTATTAAGTTTTATTTTTTGGTTTTTACCCAGTAACCTTTATTGTGTGCCATTACCCAGTTGTTACCATAAAGGTTACATGTGTTTAAAAGACCCCAAGGTCAGCAGTTCAAAACCACAGACTGGACTTTTCTACTCCTGTAAAGAGTTGCAGTCACAGAAACCCACCGGAGTGGTACTGTCTTGCCCTATAGGGTCACTATGATTCAAAATTGACTCGGTGGCAGGGAATTTGATTTTTTGAGACAGTGACAGTTTCCCAGTTTTTGTATTTTAACTTTTACTATTTATAAAATAATATTACCCACTATCCTAGTTCAGATTATTATTTCATCAGTTTCTTTTCTGAGCAAAATATTAACCATGACTCTAATCAGTAGCATTCTGTAAGGGGGCTTCAAAAAGTTGGAGGAATTCCATGATATTTTCATTCAATTTTTCCATGAATTTTTTAAGCTCTATCATTTAAACAAAGTATCATATATTGATTATCTCCTTAAATAAAAACATAACCTAAGGGTACAAATTCACCTCCTTAAATTTTGTTCAGATGTATTTTCCTCTTAAGAAGATGCTGCATTTTAGCAATTCCACCCTTGCCTGGCCAGCATTTTGGGGAAATGGTATGTTCCATAGAAATAAATTTACTGAGTAACTTAATGTCTGTATATTTAAGACTAGAATTCTAAATAATTCATTTTATGTTTTAAATGAGACCAGATTTTGAGTAAGGATCAATAGGTTCCTCTACATACATGATAGCTTTTAATTGTTGCTACCTGAATTTCAGATACCTACTCATGTCAGGTAGATATTTGAGTAACTTTCAAGTTAAGCATAATCTTAATGCATTGCACATGTCTTAATATGGTATTTTGTGATATCCTTGAGGTATCTTTATTTAATTCAGTTTTTATTCTTTCCCCAGTGCCTTTTTAATTCTTTTTATTTAGTCAGGAATGTAATTTTTGTGAAAATACTATATTTTCCACTGATTGAAGAACTTAAATACCTATATAAATTAATGGTCTCACATAATATGTTGTCACTATTATTGAGGCTCTAGGAACTCTAGCACGAGACTGAAGAAATTTTCTCTAGTTAAAATAGAATTTTATAGGGCAAATCATTGTAGAGTGGATATTAGGACTTATTAATTGTTATGCAGAAGGTCCAGATAGACCCACTTACTTGATCTGCCTGACAGAACATTTTTGCTGCACCCTCTAAATTTTTTTATACTTTTGCTTATAGAAACTCTTTTTTTTTTTTTATCATCACAAGAATGTAATAGTGAGGAGTAAAATTTTTACTGAGCATATGTGTAAAGAACACAGAGAGATGGGAAACAGACTGACAAGGCTATAGCTGACAAGTTCCTATACCAAGCAATTTTTTTTCCTTTTATTGCTCTCCGAGATTGAACATATAAACTATAAAGAATAATGAATTATTTTTCATAAAGTTGCAAAATAGAATGTGTACACGTAAAACCTTAAGCATTTCATATAAACTGAATGGGAATTTTGGATTGATCTATCTGTCTTATACTACCATAGAATCAATTCCACTCATAGCAACCTTATGGGACAGAATATAACTCCCTCTATGTGTTCCTGAAACTAAATCTTTTCTTCTTTTTTAAAAAAAATCATTTTATTGGAGGCTCATACAGCTCTTATCACAATCCACACATAAATCCATTGTGCAGAGCACATTTGTACATATATTGCCATCATCATTTTCAAAACATTTTCTTTCTACTTGAGCCCTTGGTATCATCTCCTTATTTAGTTGCCCTCTCTTCCCCACCCTCCCTCCCTTATAAACCTTTGATAATTTATAAATTATTATTTCTTTCATGTCTTACACTTACTACTGTCTCCCTTCATCCACCTTTCTGTTGTTCACCCCCCCTAGGGAGGGGGTTTATATGTCAATCATTGTGATCGGTTCCCCCTTTCTCCTCCCACCTTACCCCTACCCTCCTAGTATCACTATTCTCATTAGTGGTCCTGAGGGTTTTATCTGTCCTGTATTCCCTGTGTTGTGAGCCCTTATCTGTATCAGTGTACATGCTGTGGTCTAGCTGGATCGAATCGGGGTCATGATAGTGGGGTGGAGGGAGCATTGAACTAAAGGAAAGTTGTATGTTTCGTCTGTGCTATACTGCACCCTGACTAGCTTGTCTCTTCCTATGACCCTTCTGTAAGGTGGTGTCCAGTTGCCTACAAATGGGCTTTGGGTCTCCATTCTGCACTCCCCCTCTTTCACATTGATATGATTTTTTGTTTTGGTTCTTTGATGCTTGATACCTGATCCCCTCAACACCTCATCACACAGGTTGGTGTGCTTCTTCCATGTGGGCTTAGTTGCTTCTCAGATAGATGGCCTCTTGTTTATCTACACGCCTTTAAAGACCCCTGATGCTATATCTTTTGATAGCCAGGTACCATCAGCTTATGCGCCCATTTTGTCTTCAGCGATTGTGTCAGGAAGGTGAGCATCACGGAAGGCCAGGTTATTAGAACTAAGTGTTTTTCCATTGAGGGAGTACTTGAATAGAGGCCCAATGTCTGTATGCTACCTTGATACTTACATATAAATATATTTACATAGATCTATTTCCCTATTGTTTTATATATAACGATATCATTACATATATTTACATATGTACATGCCTGTATTTAGACCTCTATAAATGTCCTTTACCTCCTAGTTCTTAACTATATTTCCTTTTATTTTCCTCTTGTCCCACTATCATGTTCGCCCTTCATTCATCTTTCATTAATTCCTCTTGCCTACATTGCCCTTGATCAAGCCCCACCAGGCATCCTCCTTTGCCATTGATTTTAGATCACTTGTTGTTCCCTTATCCCTGGCTTCCCCATTCCTCTCGCCGGCCGCCCCCCTCCTGTTTCTCCCCCCGAACCTTCCGTCCTGTCGTTTTTTTCCTCCTTAATTTATCCTGCCTATCTTATCTAGATAGACATGCAAAAACAATAAGCATAAAAACAAAACAAAAAAACACCAACACAAAGCGAAAAGCTTATAAATAGTTCCAGGTCAGTTTGTTAACCTTTATGAGCCTACAGCAATTCTTATAAAAAACTTTTTGTAGCATTAGAATCTCGTTTTCTAAGAAAATATTGTTCAGAAATCCTACATGTACAATAAAATGTAGAGCTTTCTGGCAAAATGTAGAGCTTCTCTTGCTCTGCTACTAAGAAAGTTGATAAATGTCAAGTTCTCAAGTTAGTCTTTCAGTATTAGAAAATAAAATTATGACTCTCACAAGTCAAAATAAAAGGGCTTCAAAAATTTCATGGAAAAATGGAATTAAAAGATAATCAAATTTTTCCATTAACTTTTTGAAGTCACTTCATACTGGCTAAACATTGTTATAGATAGGTGAGTTACTGGCTAAACATTGTTATAGATAGGTGATAGCTGTCATTTAGCACTTACAATTTGGTTATTTTAAAACAGCTGATGATGGCACAGCCACCCTGTGTTAGTCTGGGTGGACTAGAGAAACAAATTCATAGACACTCATGTGTATAAGAAAGAGCTTTGTTTAAAAGAGCAATTATATATTGAGCAAACATCCCAGTCCACTCTAGATCAAGTCCATAAGCCTGATTTTAGCCCATATGTTCCATACCAGTGTGTAAATTCCTCTTCAGACTCACACAACACATGCAGTGACACTGAATCCAGGAAGATCACAGGACAGTTGGCAGAAAGTCTTAGGATCCAGTGGCAGTGGAAGCATCTCAGTGCTGGTGTGGGTCTCCATGTAGCTCCTCCTGCTCTAGGGCTCTAGCTCCATCAGTGGAGCTTCATGTGTCTTGTCAGCAGGAAGACAAAGCAGTGGGTGTGACCTCCATTGAGCTATTTATCTCTGTAGTGCCTCCAAATGAAGTCACTAAGCTGCAGCCTGATTGACAGGCTAAACTCTACTCCTTCACTCTTAATAGTCTTAAGTTGATACCAGATTATGTAACTATCACAAACCCCATTTGCAGAAAGGCTGAAATAGTTCATTGGTTTTACATACTGCAAAATACTAGCAGTAGACAAATCACCTGAGTGTTTTTCTCTTAGGAGAGATTAGTCTGACCAAGCATAGGTCAGGTTTAATGTAAAAGAAATTTGTAGTGGTAGTAGTACTGACTATAGCCTAGATATCAAAAGTACTCAAGATGTTTTCTTTAACTACATCAATCTCTACAGTAATTATTCATGGAGAAACAGGGTTTTCTGTATACAAGGGCATGCCCATTTCTTAATTGAATATCATCCTATTCCCCATACTCATACCTTTGTCTGTATATTCATGTGTTAGGGCAGGAGCTCTAGTGGTGTAGTGGTTACATGTTGGGCTGCCATCTGTATGGCTTGCAGTTTGAAACCACCAACAGCTCCACAACAGAAAGACTGGGCTTTCTACTGCCATAAATAATTACATTCTCGGAAACCCACAGCGGGTTATTATGAATTAACATGGGCTCAATGGCAGGGAGAGAGAGAGAGAGGACAGTTTCCAAGCCCTATAATGAGCGACACCTATTAAAGATAATTCCTATTAAGCTTTGGAGTGATATTTTATATGTATTAATGTGTTTATATTCTGTACATTATATGCTATGCATTATTTTTATGATTATGTGCATTATTAAATTTAATCAAGTTTTATATCCCTAACTTCAGTCTTAGATTTTCTTTTCCTATATCCTCAGGGAAATTCAGGCCTTGGTTTCAGCATTGCTGGAGGAACAGACAACCCACACATTGGAGATGACTCAAGTATTTTCATTACCAAAATTATTGCAGGGGGAGCAGCTGCCCAAGATGGAAGATTGCGGTATGTTTTGCAATTTATATTGTAATACTGAATCCACTTTTTATGTCTTTCTTAAAGCAAATTGGATAAGGGATAAATGCAAACAGCATTATCAATAGTAGTAACATAGAGTGGATTCTCAAACAACATTCATACTATTGATTGGGACAGTTGTTGTCTAAGCATGTTTATGTCTTTTTATTTAGGAAGTCAATATTTTAAATAATAATTTTACTTCATAGTTTGTGAACAAATTCATAGAAATCATAGGTTTCCATTTTGGTTTTCAAATGGAGTCTCAAAATGTTTCAAATTTTTTCAGTGTGAGAAATATTTACATAAACTTAAAGACAAAGAAAATCATGCTTGTCTGGGTTTGTAGCTTGTATCACAAAAAGTAAGCTATATGCACACTTTAAATAAATACTTTTATCCCTCCCCCGTCCCCAGGGTTAATGATTGTATACTGCGAGTAAATGAAGTAGATGTTCGAGATGTAACACACAGCAAAGCAGTGGAAGCATTGAAAGAGGCAGGGTCTATAGTACGTTTATATGTAAAAAGACGGAAACCGGTATCAGAAAAAATAATGGAAATAAAGCTCATAAAAGGCCCTAAAGGTATGTGATAATCAAACTAAAATTATTAGCAAGAAACTTCTGAGTTAAATGTAACTATAAACTTATTTTTTATGAATGTTTAATATTGACAGTACTAATAAGCTACAGTATTTCTATGAATATTTAGAATTTTGAGTTATTTTTACTGAAATTTATCTAAATTAGAATTCTAGAATGTCTAAGTTTCTGCCATGAGTCCAGCTTTCTAAAAGTTTTTTACTAGGTTGGATATGTAGCCCCTGCCCACCTGCCCCTTAAGGGGATGAATAACAAATGTGGGTGGAGAGAGACAATGGAAAATGCATATAATATGAAGTAATATTAACAATATATAATTGATCAAGGATTCAAAAGTTGGAGGAGGGAAGGGGGTAAAAAGAGGCGCTTACACCAAGGGCTCAAGTAGAAAATGTTTTGGAAATGATGACAACATATGTACAAATATGTTTGATACAGTTGGTGTATGGAATGTTATAAGAGCTGTAAGAGCCTCCAGTAAAATGATTTAAGTAAGTAGAAGTTCTTGATGTTAATTGCTATGTGCAATTTACATGTATTTTTAATATGACTTTTAGCATTAAAACAAATGAAATAGTCTTGCCTTTGAAGTCAATTGTAGTTGTTGATCATAACTTATAATCATGCCTGTACGAAGTATATTAAATGCAAGTGCACAGGCTAAGTAAAAAGAAGACTTTTGTATGTCATGAGTTCCTTCTGAAATGAAGACTTATGTGATTTCTAAAATTTTAAAACAGTAGAATTTAGGGTAAAGTTAAATACTGATTCTGATATAAAAGAGGTAGATTTCAGAAGTTCAAGTATTTTTAAAAAAACAATAGCTGAGTATTTATGAATTACAAAACATCCTTGAAATTGTTAATTCACAAAGTATTGGAATTAGATCAAAGGTTATACAGTATTTCTAAAGCCTGTCCATTGTGCCCACCACCAAGAGATAATTTTGTAATGGTATTAAAACTTAATGGCTAAGTAGTACAGTTTTACCATCTCTTTCTGGACTAGCAAATGCATGCATTTACAATGAGACTTTACGAAGGAACCCACTAAAATGTTTTTTAAAAGGAACCCACTTGGGTTAAAATTTGAGCTTTTAACCAGAAAGTCAACACTTCAGACCCATCAGCCAATCGACAGGAGAAAGGTGAGGCTGTCTGCTCCCATAAAGATTCCAGTCTCAGAAACCCTCTCTAGGGTTGTCAGAATTAATGACAGATTCAATGACAGTGGGTTTGTTTTTTTTTATTTGATAAAATTGTAGAAAAGGTAGATAATTAGATAGGTAATTTCTATTTTTAAAAACAGTGTGATGAAATCATGACCTTGTCAGTCATTTCTATCTCAGCTTAAATTTACATTGATTGATAAGAATCTAAAACTAGTGTTTTCCAAGCAGGTCTTGGGTTCAGCATTGCTGGAGGTGTTGGGAATCAGCATATCCCTGGGGACAATAGTATCTATGTAACCAAAATAATTGAAGGAGGTGCAGCACATAAAGATGGTAAACTTCAGATTGGAGATAAACTTTTAGCAGTAAGTATAAGAAGTCTATTTTTAAAAATATCATTTTGATGCCTTTTTTTTCCTCTGACAAACTTCAGAATGTCTACAGAATGAAAAATGTTAAATGAGTGAATACTAACCTTGCTTTAGTCAAAACCTAAAAAACAATTCTTGGTATATATCTTTTATTTGCCATTTTCATTTCCTTTTCCGTGCTTTCTTTTTCTTTCACTTTTATCTGTCTATTTGTTTGTGTATATTTACTTTTTGTTATTAAAGTGGGAGGTGTTCAGATATATAGAATTTATGTCAGTAATCCTTTAATCATTATCCTTAGCTCATAACACTCATTATTTCATTTGTTTTAATTTAATTAATTTACCTATTTTTTACTTATAACAAAAAGCTAGTAAACTTTACCCTGCCAAGAATTCTAGCATTCGTAGTTTATATTAACATTCCTTTTTTGTTTCTAAAAAATTGTTTAATCTCATACTTGTGGCTAAATATTTTTAGTGTTTGTTTTAAAGCATTATAAAAGGTTATTGTTTTGTATGTAGTTTTTATATACTTATGTTCTCACTCAGTATTATTTTACTGAGACATCCATATTTTTACTGAGAGCTTAATGGATGTGTTCATTTCATCTCGAGTGAATCAATTTTTCAGTTGATAATTGTTCAGTCAAAACATGAAAAAACGTTCATGTTCTGAGGTTTCATTGGGAGACGGAACCCACGGGATTCAAGAGGGAGTGAAAATGGAAAGTATGGTGAAAGGAAAACCAGTTGCTTATCATATGGTACTGACCCTTCCTGTCTGTTGTTAATTATCTGCCCCAGGAGAGTTAACTGCCCCAAGTCTGGGCAACTTAAGGAAAGCCACTTCTGATGCTCTGTGGTATAGCTCTTTATTTAAACCTGAAAGTGGTGAAAAGAGCCAGCGCCTTAGTGATCTATACACATCACACATAAGTTTCTGAGATACTACAGCACTCACTATAAGAAGCAACAATGTCCACCATGCCATTATAAAGCATTATAAGTTTAGTGGTCACAATATAAGACAAAGACAGTAATAAGAAGTAGCCAAGATTAAGGAGCAGATAGTCTCAGGTGAATCAGAGGAGGCACATGAACTACATGTGGTACAGTGATGATGAGTTAGATTATTTCTACTTTTTTTGGTATTCTAAATAATTTTGCTTGGAAAAGCTACATTATAGTGTCTTCTGGTGATCACGTGCAAGAGTTTCATTTGGGGATTGGGCTGGGTTTGGGATTTACCAGGACATGGAGTATACTGTTCGAAGCATTATAAGTAAACATCCAGTTATTACTCAAACCGATTGTAAAATTTCACTTTCAAATCAACAAGTACCATATATACTTGAGTATAAGCCAACCCAAATATCCGCCGAGGCACCTAATTTTACCACTAAAAATGTGCTGAAAAACTCGGCCTCTACTCGAGTATCTATGGTATATAAAACATTCCTTTGTTCTACATCTTTTTCAATATGCCAGTTGTAGCATGGAGGCAAATAATGATTGTTTTGAATTAGTGACAGGAACGAGTAACGAACAGAACTTGAACTACTTTATCTTATCCTCTTGCACCTAGTACTTGTCATTGTTTCCCCCAAGTTGCAACAACCCATGCACCCCCTTTTCTGTAATACTCCACATATACACACATTGATTCAAAACCATTTCATAATTCTAATGGATTTCTCACATTTATTTAAACATATTTTAGATGCCATGTTTTCCCCATAATCAGTTTTGGTGGTAGGAAACCAGCGAACTGTGCTAATTTACCATCTTGGCAAGGCTAGTTCACTCTTGAATTCACTCATGTTTTCCCATAATTTTATGGAAATAATTCACCTGTTATCTTCTATATTAATCGACAACCAGCTTTTGGCACACTTTGCTCCTTCTTCAAACATTAATCATTTTTGCTTAGCAAGTCAAGCTTTTATCTGTGTTCCTCCTGAATTGCTGCCCATACCTCCACCCTTCTTTAGTAGTGCTGCCTTATCTCCCTGACCTCTGAGCATTGCAGTAATCCAGAGCTCAGTCTCTGTACATAGTCTCTTCTCTATTGCTACTTACTTTTTAAAAACTCAACTAGAGGTCAAGACTATATCAATTGTTTTGTGAAATTTATTTGCACTTTTTACATACACACATTTTGTTTTGGGCTCGAGGCAAACATTTTTCAACAGTGGTTCTTAAAGAGGTTACCTGAACTCCCCTTAGCTATCCCAAAAGTCATCTCTAATTTAGCATATCCAAAAATGAACTTCTCATTTCCCCTGCCCAGTTCCCTGTACTCATCAGGTCTCATAAGGTAACTTTGTCCTTCCATTTGCCCAAATCCATAATTTTAATTTTTATTATTTTTTAAATCTTAATAAATAATTGTATTGTAACAGCTCTTTTGACAAGCTGTACATTAATTGTGTTAAGCACATTTGTACATATGTTGCCATCAGTGTTTCCAAAGCATTTTCATTCTACTTGAGCCCTTGATGAGTCCGTAACTTTAGAGTCATCCTCTCTCACAGTCCACGTTGACTACCTCAGCAAGTCATGTTACCTCTTATGTGAGTTATCTAAAGTCGCATAAGGAAACACAACATTTTGTGGCTAAGTTAACAATCATTCATTTGTTTACCATTCTGCAATTTTGGTAGGACTTGCCAGGGAGAGCTTGTCTCTTCTCCATGTAGTGTCAGCTTGGGTGGCTTGACTAGAGTCAGAGAATCCACTTCCAAGGTAGCTAAGCCATATGACATGAAAAAATCTACAAGTTGACCATTAATAAAGGAAGATAAAACTATAAGATAATTGATAGACAAATTACAACCTCATTCGTTATTTTATGTACTTTAAAATTGTTTGTGTTCAATGTGGGAAATAAGTCAATAGCACTCTCTTACTCTGTGAGAACAATTTAGTAGCATTCATCTAAGTAGAAAATGCCTATATTCTTTGATTGATCGATTCTGTATCAAAAGAACTTGGCCATCTAAAATACACATGCACAGTGAAGTGGAAGATGGTGGGCCACAAGAGAGAGAAGGGACGTTAAGGAGTGGGTGAAGGGTAATTTGATTTGATGAGTAGATTAAACTGTTGAATACAAAGCTGGTGATCTGAAATGTAAACCCTCACCTAATGTGCAATTTTAAAAATTAAGAAAATATAAGAAATAAAACACCTCCATAAAGAAATATGTCCATGCATGTTTATTGGCACGGCTTATTTATACAAAAATCGAAAAGAAATTAGATACCTATTAATATAAAAATTTTTTAATAAATATATTCTCTGATAGCTTTAAAAAAACAAATAATTCTACGTTTCAATATGGAAAAAACCTCAAAACAAACTCACTGTCATGTAGTCGGTGCCCACTTATAGCCACCCTTTCGGACAGAGTAGAGAAGTGCCCTGTGAGCTCCCAGACTGTCAATGTCGTCTTTCTCCTGTGGAGCCGTTCACTGCCCCGGAGCAACCACTACACCTCCAGGTTCTTGTTAATGGTATCCACATGCACTCCTAAATCCTTAGGAATGAGGGGATATTCTAGCTGAGGAGATAAGAGTGAAAGGAACTGGAATCAAGATTCCACCATCTGCAAACAATTTTACATATAATCCCCTGGTGTTACCTTAACTCTTTGCCATCTAGTTAGTCTCAACTCTTAACAACCCTCTTAAGCTGTACCAAATGAGTATTTTCTTTCTATACACCTTTTTATATATATCCTTTTCACGCCTTATTTTTCCCCTGTCTTTTGGTATAGTAATTTATAACCAAATAGCAGAGAGAAAATGAAAAAAGTACCTGAAATGTCTTACACAGGGTTTTTCTTGTAGGTGAATAGTGTATGTTTAGAAGAAGTTACTCATGAAGAAGCAGTAACTGCCTTAAAGAACACATCTGATTTTGTTTTCTTGAAAGTGGCAAAACCCACAAGTATGTATATGAATGATGGCTATGCACCGCCTGATATCACCAACTGTAAGTCTGTTTAAATCATCTTTTCTTAAGTTTTTTAATGTCCAACTGTCAATATAAAGTTTAAGAATTCTAGAAATATTTTAAAGGAAAAATGTAAGCATTGATTTTAAGCCAAAACGAGTCCTGCTTCACTTTTACTATTTTGTCCTTATGTTTTATATTTATATTCAAAACATTATAAATAATGATCAATAAAGGGTTATTTGTAAATAATGTAGAGATTTTAAAATAAATTTAGATAAAGCACAAGACACATACAATTTATAAGCACACGGGTTATTCTGATGTTTCTGGTCAGGTAGTTCAAATAGTATACCACATAGAAGTACTAATTTTAAATATGACTAGAATTAAAGGCTTTTCAAAATATGGGTGTAATACTTCTCTAGTACCTGAGGACAGAAAATATTGTCATAATCAAAGTTCTTTTTTTTAAAAAATCATTTTATTAGGGCTCATACAACTCTTATCACAATCCATCCATACATCAATTGTATAAAGCACATTTGTACATTCATTGCCCTCATCATTCTCTAAACATTTCCTCTCCACTTAAGCAAGCCCCTGGCATCAGGTCCTCATTATTTTTGCCCACCCTACCCCGCTCACCCCTCCCTCACGAGCCCTTGATAATTTATAAATTATTATTTTGTCATACCTTGTCCTGTCCGACGTCTCCCTTCACCCACTTTTCTGTTGACTGTCCCCCAGGGAGGAGGTCACATGTAGATCCTTGTAATCTGTTCCCCCTTTCCAACCCACCCTCCTTCTACGCACTCAGTATTGCCACTCAC